CCCCGAGGCCTGCGGCCCGAAGAGCAAGAAGGGCGATCTGCTGAACGCGCACTATGATGGTTTCCTGGCGAGCGACGGAGCCAAGTTTTACTGCAGGTGGGTCGGGGGCACAACCGATTTAATCTAATCACAGCCCGAGCCCCGCGGGCAGCAGTGGGTGCCACTCGCGCTCAGCCACTCGGTCCCACCGACCACATCCGCGTTAATAATTCCCCCCTCCCCCCCCGTCTCGTCACCGAAATCGGGAATCAAACCCCTTAACAGCAATGTAGTATTAAGCACGGGCATTATTTATGCACTGGGGATGCTTCTCCAAGCTGCATCTCAACTGTCCAAACTTTTTACTGTTTATGCATTTCAGAAAACAAATTAGTGTCACAAGTTACCTAACTCTCATTAATTAGTGTTCTAATTAGTGTTCTGGCCTCTATTAGCTAGTGATTCTCTTGCTCCTTGTGGTAATTCGTCGCTTTTGAGTCGGTAGCTTCTTGAGGGTCTTCCATGGGGGTTGTAGATGGTCTCTGGTGGTTCCTTGTGGTTGTTGAAAAGATGTCCATTAGTGTCCTTTCCATGAATTTTGAATCTTCCTTCCATGTATGGTCTTGGCTTAGCTCATTATCTCATTTGTAATTTAAAAGTTCCTTACCTTGGTCTTAGTTTACTTCTGCTGGCTCATCTGCACTGCTCCAGGATGAGCCATCACAGCTGTGAGAACTTATGTCGTTGGGTGCATTCTTGCCCCTTACAACAACTCCCCCTTTGAGACTTAGTCGACAGTTAGTCTTGGATAAGTTCATTTCACCAATTAGCACTACTCTACTAAGTTTGTAACATAATGCAGCTTAACTGCTTGAAAATCATACATGACAAGAGGAGGGTGCAAATGGTACAAAGCTGTAAACAATGTAATCTGAGGCATGTTTTTTTTTTTTCTGTGCATTCTAGGCCTGCAAAGCCACAGAAGGAGTTAAGTATGTGATTCCAAAGGGTCAACTTAGAAATAGGGAGCTGAGATCCCCTGGTGTCAGTCTGAGCCTTTATTTTTCCTCAGGCAAGTGTTGAAGGGTGCAGGGTTTCTTTAGGGCCAAGAGGGACCAGCACCAGAAATCAAAGCTGTGTTTGAGGCCAGTGAAGCCTTAACCCACACAGAACATGAAGAACCACTTTGGCAGGGTGGAAAACATAAAACCTCACCATGTTATCACGTGTCGTGTTCTGTGCTGTAATCTGTGTGTTGGGAGGAGGAGGAGCTCCTGGTAGGGATGCAGACTGACTGTTTTAGACAGCAACGTGAATACAGCATGCATTTCCACATAGTTGGCACTAGGCAGGGCAGCCACGTTACAGTAGTGGTTTGCAGCCTTTTTGCCTCTTCCCTGTCACTGCTTCCTCCCTCGATTCGTTGTGCTGTCCATTTTGCCCCAGTGTTAGCATTTAGGCCTTTGCTTTTTCCCTTTGTCCCATCTGTCTTCAGGCTGTTTCCATTTGGTTTAGCTTGCTTTGCACATAAACCATTGTGGAAAAGCTTTACTTTCACAGTGCCTTGCTTGTAATGACAGTCCATCCTGGTAGTGAGGCAGGACTCTCCTATGCAGAATTATGGAGGAAAATATTTTCTGTCTTACAGGTACCTGGCTCGTTCCTCACTCCTATTTGTACAGATCAGACAGTAGCTTAGCTTATGACAAGATCTGGATTCATTCCCCTCACTTGTATATTTTAAGAAAACATTAATATAGGATAATTCTACATTTAACGGTACCATTTTACTTGCATTTTTTGGCCTGTCAAAGTGACTGATTTTGGTACAGATATTGTTGCCCCTTGGCTTTTGAGCTACATGCTGCTCAATTGCTGTTCACTGTAGCTCACATACTGGGGATACCTTGTGACCAGAACCTGCTTTAAGCATCGAATATCTGAACTGAACAGAGCTGTAGGTGAACACACAGTACTGGAACCAAGATTGCTGCATTTCCCCAACATGCACCTGCATTCTCGGTCCCATCCCGTCCTACAGTGATCACAGAATTATAGGGGTCAGAATGGACCTTACAGATCATCTAGTCCCAACTCCCTGCCATGGGCAGGAACATCTCCCACCAGACCAGGTTGCTCAAGGCCTCATCCAGCCTGGCTTTGAACACTGCCAGGGTTGGGGCAGCCTCCCTGGGCAACCTGTGCCAGTGTCTCACCACCTTCACAGGAAAAAGCTTTTTCCTAATACCTAGCCTAAATTTCCCCTCCTTCAATTTGAACCTGTTACCCCTTGTCCTGTCACCGCAGTTCCTAACGGCTCCAGCTCCCCTGTAGCCCCATCAGATACTGATAGGCTGCTATGAGGTCTCTGCACACCGGACTGAACAGCCCCAGCTTCCTCAGGCTGTCCTCATAGGGGAGATGCTCCAGTCCTCTTACCAATTTCATAGCCTCCTCTGCACTTACTTAAACACTTCCATGTCCTTCTTATGTTGAGGACACCAGAACTGCACTCAGTATTCCAGGTGGGGCTTCACAAGAGCAGAGTAGAGGGGGAGAATCATCTCCCTTGACCTGCTGCCACACCTTTGGATGCAGCCCAGGATTCCATTGGCTTTCTGGGCTGAGCTTGCACTGCAGCTCATGGTGAGTTTCTCATCCACCATCATGCCCAAGTCTCTCTCCTCATTGCTGGTCCCAATTACTTCTCTACCCAACCTGTAGCTATGCCTGGGATTGCTATGACCCAGTTGTAGGACCTTGTACTTCATTTTGTTGAACTTAATGAGGTTTGCATTGGCGATGTGAACAGATGAAGGCATTTTCACTTTCTAGTGCTCCCAGTGCTCTTCTTGGAGACTTTCTGCAGTGGCATCTTGTTTCTGGCATGCAGTGTACATGATCAGGAAGATCAGATTGCTTTGTAACAAGTTTCACTTGTTGGTTTTTTTTTTAAAATCAATTATAAATGTAGCAGAAAAAGTGTTAATACTCTGCATTCTTGCACTTTAAATGTTCTTGTGTTCTAATAATCTAATGTATGTTTTTACTGCTAATTTAAAGTTATGTAAAAAACCAATCAAATTTAGTGTTACTCATACACAATTCTTTTTAACAGTCGGACACAAAATGAAGGTCATCCCAAATGGTTCGTCCTGGGTGTTGGACAAGTCATAAAAGGGTTAGATATTGCTATGATGAATATGTGTCCTGGAGAAAAACGGAAAGTGACAATCCCTCCATCATTAGCATATGGACAGCAAGGATACGGTAAAGAAGTTTTGACACTAAACTTTGTCTTTCCTCTGATTTAGCCTTTCAAACATACAGTATTGAAAAACACTATTAAAAATTGCTGCTACCATTATTTTTGGAGGCACTGCAGCTGTGCAGTTTAAGTAGTCCTTATCATAGACCCACACCCAGGCCTTGCAGTTTGCACTAGAATTCAGTGCATGGCACCCAATGTGTCATACCCAGGTATTACCATAGTATGAAAAATTGATAGCAATAGAAAGAGCTTCATGATCCATATCGGTACTTCTGTCTTAATCTCTTAAATTCTAATAATGCTTAATTTCTATTACTTGACTCATACCTGCTTAGCCTTTTAATGACAATCTGCATCTTCTGAGCAAAATGGAATATAATGCAGCTCAGTTAATCTGCGTAGAAATAATTTGTTTAAAACACTGCTTACATTCTGGATAGTTAATGGGTATCATCACATTACACAGTAATTGGAACAGTGCAATGCATGAAATCTGATTTGAATATAAGATAATTAAGTGTGCAGACTGCTTCAAAAAAGTTGCAATCCAAGTTCTATGCAGTGTTTCAGCACTCAAATGTAGATAAATTCAGCTCTGGCTTGGGTGTAGTAGTTTCTGTGGAAAGGTATCATAGCAGTTTGGTAGTTTTGTGTCAGAATTCAATGCACAAATTTTATCTTTTGTACAATTTCATGCAGAAAGGAAAAAACACTGATACAGATAAAAGATGTTCTTTAACTAGTGTTAACTGTTGCTAGTGTTAACTGATGCTAGTGTTAACTGTTTGTTCTAGGTAGCACTTGAAGAAGTAGTATTTTCCTACAGCATACCTGTCCTCTGTCTCCGCATATTCCTGCATGCTGGGGAAGATGCCTGCCTAATATTGAATTAGAAAAGATGCATGTGGCTTTCTAAATCTTTACATGTCTTTCCTTTGTTGGTATGTATATTTGTAAACTACTGGCACTGGATTCTAGTATTGTATCTTTCTTTTGTAAGTAGATATAAACCATGATTTATATGCAGATGTATTTAAAACTTTTGCTTTTCTAAGAATTGGAAGGTTAAAATCTTTTAAACTCTGAAACCTGTCGGTTTTACTATGGCTATTTTAGATGAGTAATGTGAGTAATAGCTTTGTTTACCTTCTGTTTATAAACAAAGTAGATTCTTTCACTTTTCTTCAGTTTATGAAGGAGAGAGACAAGCTCAAAATTCTGTCAAAATTCTGAGGTTACAATGTCATGCTCACTGGCTTTGGCTATGAATAGAAGCTATTTGCATGTTTCCATTTTATTTTTACACTGCATGATTTCTTGATGCTCTTTTCGCACTACTTTTAGAACTCATGAGTTAGTTACTGTCTCTTTTCAGTTCCAGTTTTTTTGCCAGATGCATGATACCTGTGTTTATAGGCAGTGCTGGCTGTCATCAGGTATCAGGAAATGCTTTGATCCAGGAATAACGAAGTCTAACTGGTTTTTTGATTCAGAGACCAGACAAATTATTTCAGCAGTTTGGGAGTTTTGCAGGGTTTTTTTGAAGGTCAGATGACTTACATTCTATTGCTTTCTTCTGAGACATATGTTTTAAACACTATTTTACATCAAGTCCTTTTACCACAGGTGTAATTCATAGGAAGTGGGTAAAACCTGAGAGTGGCTGCTTGTTTCTTTGGACAGAAAATATATATGAGCATTGGTCTAGTACTGTAATATTTTAAATGAGAGTGCAGCTATTTAACAAAGGCATATGTCTTGGAAACAGTCTCTTAATAAGCCTTGTCATACAACAAGAGTGTTGAAGAGTGAGAACTGTAGAAATGCTTGTTTTTCATGATAACACGAACCATACTCTTAATTTTTAAAAGTACATGGAATTGATATGAGTGATATTATTTCGTTTCAGGGAAGTATACTGTTAGCAAGTCTCTCTCAAAATCTTTTATCTAACATAGTTGAATGATCTTCCTTTCTAGATGTACAATATTTAAATTCAAAGTTTAATCTGAATATCAACACAGCCTTTTGTAATTAAAAAAAAAGCTTTACATGTGAATTTATCATAGCTGTGAACTCTGACCAGTGTCTGATTTCATAAATGCTTTTCTTTTCCTTCATTCATAGCACAGGGTAAGATTCCACCCAATGCAACACTGATCTTTGAGATTGAACTCTATGCAGTAAATAAAGGACCTCGTAGTGTTGAAGCATTTAATCAAATAGACAAGGATAGTGACAAGAAACTCTCTGAACTCGAGGTAATATGATGTCAATAATTTATAAAACTAGAGGTATGGTTGGATCAGTTTTGTCGTTACATGAGCTGCCTCTGCTGCAGTTGATCATGTACAGCTTCTATGTAGTTACACAAACTACACTGTGTAATGCTGAAATTTGCTTTAAATTTTGTTATGTCTCAGACTCACTGTAGACAAACTGTAGATGTGTCTGCACTGGAATCACAATAACTTACACATATACTCCAAGTATCCTCAATGATAGCTGTTGAATACTGCCATGAAAGTCACAATGGTTGACTTAACGCCTTTTCTTCTAGATAAGCCAGTATTTGAAAGAAGAATTTGCAAGAGATGGCAAAAAACGTCATCCCTCAGCCCACGATGAAATCTTAGCTGACATATTTAAGAAGAATGACCATGATGGAGATGGTTTCATATCTGCAAAGGAGTACAATGTCTACCAGCATGATGAACTCTAGGTACCTATAACATCTTTGGCTGTTTTCTGGACACTGAATTCTAAATACTTTGTCACAGAAATTTTTGTACTTTTTTTGTCGTGGCATCTTTTTGTATCTCTTAAGGTGACTGTAAAAACCTTATTTTTAACATTGAGCTAATAAAATGTGTTAGATATTTCAAAAGAAAGAAATAAAATTGGAAAACACCATGATCTATCACTAGTAGTTCTTGTGTCATGTCCTGACTTCAGTATTGCTCAGTATTTTTCATTGTGTAAAATACTGCTAAAAAAATTATTTCTGTCCTATTAAGCACGCAAAAATGGATCCAGTACCTGTTGACATAGTTAGAATATAACTGATGAACATTTTTGAGTCCTCTGTAAAATTAAGAGAGAAAACAGAATCCCAGGAAGGTAACTCTGTTAGACCCCTGCAGGCTCCTAGGTTAGCTTCTTGAGGAACAGCTGTTTGCAGCAATTAAACGTAAAAGGCCTTAAAATAAATGAACACTGTTTATGGATTTTTAAGATAAAACCACATATATTCTTAAAGCAACTTAAAATAACCTCTGATGTAATAATAATACGAATAATTTAAAGTTGATGAAAACAGTGTTTTAAGTGGGTTTTTAGACTTTGACTTAGTCAGTTATCAAGTTAGCCAGTTTATTCAGCAGCACCAAGTTAAGAATCCACACTCGCATTTACTTGGATGAGGTGGGTGATGATGTAGGATACTATATGTAAACAAAATAATTATTTGGGCATCATTCTGGTTTTCCTCACTCTGGAAAAATGCAAAGAAATAGTGATAGTTCATAGACAGTACTTTGGGCTCCTTAACAGTTCTGCTTATGCAGATATAATTATAACACTTGTAGCATAATTCACTCTTGTCATGTGAAAAGCAATGGCTGTATTCATTTCAACATGTAATAATCAGATTTACACAGTGAAGTGGCAGCATAAGTGAAAAAAGCTTCCATACCTGGGTTATCCTAAAAATAATTTTAAAAGGTAGAAAAACATTTCTTGTTTTGCCAGTTTAAAACAGAATGGTGAGAGGTTCATCAGTGCCCTACCCAACAGCGTGCCCAGTCCCAGTACTGGACACAACTCTGTGGTGTACTCTCATGTTACTGTTCTCAACAGATTTAATTTTCTGTGGTTGAGATCTACAGGTTAAAGACCTTCACCCCTGAAGTCTTGTTGGTGTATGTAGTTCCGTTATTTTCATAAGCTTCCAAAATATTTTCTGCTAAGCAACTTTTTTCTGAGCACAGAAAAGGAAGTCAAGAACATCTGTGACAAAATCCAAATGCAAAGTTAGACTTACTGGTACTTTTTAGTAATCTAAACAAACTGTTGACCTACAGCAATGACATCCTAATATGAAATGCTTATCCCTAGTTTCAGTTGTTCCCTTTTGTAAATGAAACATTAGACTGAGCTAAGTTTTAGCATGCTTTTTAACCTGATACTTCAATTAAACATTCATGAGAACACTAAATTATTAACAAATATTCTCGTTTTACTATCATATGCCGGTGTAGAGAAAGGCAACATTTTGGGGATTTAACAACAAGTTTGTGTAAACAACTTAAAGTAAGTTCTAGCATATATTTTGACATTATGAAAATACAGTTTAAAGCACATTTTTCATTATCATGATAGTAAGAAGGTCCTAGAAAGAAGAAAAGCAATGTCAGAGAATACATGAGGGTATTTTAATGTGAAAGGTCATTGACTGTGAAGCAAAGAATTTGAAGAGAATAGTGTAATAAAATGTTTTGCACTTTCACTATTTTGCATTTCACAATTTGAGTCATATTTACTAACTGAAAAGTTTGTGGCACAGTTATGCCCATGTCTGTGACAACAGGCACTTACCTAGCTCAGTTACTTTACTCTCTTATGCCAGAGGTCAAAACAGGGCACAGCATGCAGTCGTACATACTTTTGTCCATTGAAAGAACACTCTAGGCATCCATAGACTGTCTCCCTTTTAGAACTTCCCATTCCACAAAGGACACAGGGACCTTTGGGAATGTTGTTATTAAGTAAATTAATTCGGATATGAGAACCTTCTCTGAGATAGCTTGTAGAGAGATCAGTCATGCTCGCAGCTTTTTCATAATAATCTGCAAAAAGGTCCTCCAGGTAAGCATCAGTGTCAGGAATGATTTCCACTATTCGTTTATCTGAAAAAGAAGAGAAAAAGCAATTGTTTGTCATTACATTATGAACTGTTTAAAAAACATCTCAGTCTAATTATGGAAGTAACAACTGATTTCACAAAACCATTCTAAGCATGCCATGTAGATTACTTCACATCCAAAACCCTGTGTGATGAAAAGTTTTCTATAACTTCACATAAGACACTGACAAAAGCCAGAAGCTTTTTCTATATGACCTATGTAATTATATTTTTAGAAATGTGCCTGAAAGATAGGCATGAGGCAAGTTTCTGGGAAAATAGTGCAAAGTCAAATCACAACTGGGTACTTCCCTGCATTTATTTCTGCATTTCTAGTTTTATATTCTAAACATTGTAAATTCACATTTTTTTCCTGTTTACAAAAAAAGTCCCACAAATACTTAGCTTGGAGTACTCCCTTTTGTCCTCCTGGAAGATTTCTGAGAATCCACCTTTCTCTCTCTTCAGTGACTGATTACTTTAGATTGAATGACAAACTTCTAGGCAACTACAGCTACTGAGATGCATCATGCCCACTGGAGATATATTCGCTTAGTGTGGACAGGAGCAGGACTGAAGGCTTGGTCCATAAAAATCTTCTGATCAAGAATAGGATGGTGCAAGGCAAAGGTTACTTCTACAGAGGAACCTTTAGGACACGTTACCTGCTCAGCATTTATCTTCACACTCAGATTTGCAGATTTCCAAAGTACTTAGACCAAGGAGTGTTGCAAGTATAAGATCTTTGAAGAAAATATAGCTGCATACAGTGATACTCAGTTTTGAGGAATGTTGTGTTCATATTAGAATGAGAAAACAACTATGATGGTATCTTGCCCGTGTCCCTGCCATGTGAACACATAGTCTAAAGAGTACATTCAAATATTAATATTATTTGGTATTTAAACTTACAGTGTTTGCCCTCAAATACTACTTATAGATTATAAATTGTATTGCCTAAGATGAGTTATAAATGGCAAGAATATGAAATAGGTACAATGGTAACTGAAGTTAATTGTATAATTACTCCATACCAGTTAATCAACAGCCATAATTCGTTTTAAGAAGTTGTAATGAACAGCAATACCATAAATTTGTTATCTGTGGAAGAGTCAGATTCTAAAATACAAAACTTTACAATCATTTCGATACAAAAGAAATTGAGAGGTGCACTTTCCATCTTTCTTTTCTTTAAACATTGATCTTGCACAGAAATTAAAGAGACAAAAATACAAATTTCATGCATTCAATAAGGCATTTGTATATAAATATCAAAAGTCATACTTCGATGAAACAGGTTATTCTTTAACCTCCTTAATTTGGTCAGTGAAGATGATCCAGATTTCTCTTTTTCAAATCCTCCTTTTGAAATTGGAGTCACACAGAGTTCTGTAAAATTGAAAACTAAGTTTTTAGCAGAACAAAACATAAAAGCCATAATGGCACAACAGAGTTTAATATGCTTTCTAATCGAGAAAGCTAACAGTGATTAAATTCACATTTGCTAATGTTTCTATGACCAGTACATTTTTTTAATACAAGTCTGCACACAATAATAATCCACAGAATCAAGTGACACAAATTCTTTGGGAATTTTAACATACATCATCAGAATTTGTTTTGCTTCATACACAAATTATGGCCATGTCAAGGGATTAAGCCAGTTAGGATAAACAGTATAAATGGAAACACTGATTCTGAAGGAGAAACATTTCTGTGATCTTATTTGAAACTAAAAATGAAAAATAATAAGCAAGGCTGTGAGTTCTGTAATCATCTCTTCCAATACTGAACCAACTTATAAAACTTTTCTTTAAATAAGCATTATATATGTTTTGACCCATAACTTCAAAGAAAACCTTTAAAGTGAAATATAAAGTGTGTAAATTTTTTTTAGTAGTTTCCAATAATTGTGATTATTTCTTCTTAAATATCTTCGGATATCCGTATGTGCTGATGTATCAGACTGTATCAGCTTAGTTTAGAAGCTCTGTATACTTTTTTCTTCACTTGGATCTCTTTACCTGCCTATTGTATGCAAAACTGATCAGATAATCTCATAGAATCATAGAATTTTAGGGGTTGGAATGGACTTTACAGATTACCTGGTTCCAGCCCCCTGCCCTAGGCAGGGACACCTCCCACCAGACCAGGCTGCTCAAGGCCTCATCCAGCCTGGCTTTGAACACTGCCAGGG